TATTGTCATAACAATAATTATCTATTATTACCACTGCCATTATTGTTTTTACTGTTACTATTACTACGACTATTGTCCCTGGTAATGTTGAGGATAAGGTTATAATTTTTACGATTTACTGTGGCATCTCTTACCCCTTTAGAATGATCCCCAAATTTTTCTTGTAATATTCTTATACTTCACGTCTTTATCAGTTATTAAAACCGTCATGCTGACCTAGTCTATCTGTGGTACTAATTTGGAACGTGTGCGACTTGATGGACCGAAATATTCCAATTCAGGATTCTCTTTTCTTTGCATTTATTACTTTCATTTGTTAATACTATATTTTATTTTATTAGATTAATTGGCATATTTGTATTACTTAGACTAGTTACCGTAAATTGCTATAATCAATACTCACTATTATCGAGCATAATCACTACCCCTGATAATTATCGTTGTTTTTTTCTTCTGTTCTTATTGTCATAATTATTGGTCCTATTGATTCGCTTTTTTTTTTTTTGTTTTTGACCAATCTCTTAAACAGTCCTTGTGTTTTTTGTTTTATCTTTGCTTTGAACCGCCTTTTATTGAAATTTCAAAGAAATGAATCACAAACGCGCAGGTTTTGGCCGTTCATCACGCCCCACGTTTGCTAAGGATCCTGCACTGATCGAGCTGCAGTTTGTACAGTCAATTGAGGATTGGAGGAAAGAAATGCAAATCAGCCAAATGATTCTCGTGGGTCACTCGTTCGGTTAGAATTTCACTCATTTTGCTTGTTTTTTTTTTTTTTTTCGTTTGGTCTTATTCAGAATCGGTAGGCTTAGCACTGTGAAAAAAGCTCGCAATCTAAAAGCTGCCGCTTTGCTTCCTTTTGGGAAAAACCACTTCTGTTAGTTTTGGCTGCAAACTGGTACTGGTGCAAGCCGTAGAATTAGGAACATCATCAGCTTGTTTCCAAGCAACTTACGGAAGTCAGAGCCAGCTATAGCCTTGCCAGCGAGTAGTTGCCATGCCGGTGTGCTTTTACTCGGCTTCTGTGTGTTTTAATGAGGCACAGACCGTTGGCGAGGGCTTGAAGTAAATTCTGAAACGTAAAAGTTTGAAGTGAATGATGCTGTTTTAATTAGGCGACTGGATTTGCGGGGATCTCCTTCAGTTCGCGCCATTGCTTTGCCATTAAAGAGCTGTGCATTCCTACGTTCGGTAATTATCATAGTTCTGTTTTTTTTTTTCGATCAGCTATTTTTTCATCGTTTTGTCTTTTTCTGCTATAAATGAAACTGACAGCTTCTCGATTTTGCTAGTTTTTGAGCTCAACACAATCGCCCAATTCTTTTAGTACTTTGGACCGTAAAATATTAATGAAAAATGTGTTATCAGAAAAACTCAGGCCCGTCAAAATTCCATGCCTGTCAAGTTCATCATAATAGTTTAGGCATGCTGTTTTAATAAAAACAAAAATAGCAAGTTCGTGACTTTTATGTTTTTCTGCCTCTTTTGTTGTAATGGTTCGCCGCAGAATCATTCTTGTTTTCTTCGATGTATTTCTGTTTCAGGTGCATTTTTAGCAAGTTCTTATGCGATCGAGAATCCGGAACGGGTACGCCATTTGGTTCTCGTTGATCCTTGGGGATTTCCGGAAAAGCCGCCAGAACCGCCGAGACAAGTGGGTAACTTACATTCATTTCGCGTCTTCTATTCAAAAAAGAATTACCAAAAGTTCCTTTAGAATTACCAAAATAAATTCCTTTAAAATTTCTTTATTATACTAAAATAATCGCCGGATGAGACTTTTTTAATTTCCAGTTTGAGGACAATTTAGAAGCTAATTTTAGCGACATCGTCCAACATGGATATGGGCTGCAACACAGGCTATTTCTTTCTTCAATCCTCTGACAGCCCTGCGTTTAGCAGGACCGTATGGTAGGTTTTTTGGTTTGTTTCTCTTGTGGTATATTGGATGTGATATAATAACTTCTTCACCAAAATAACGAAAACGAAAAATAACAGTGACATGCAGCAGTCGCCTAATTTCCTGATGAAGTAGCTTCAGTCATAGTAGCTGTGAAAAGGAGTTTAACTGTGTTTACAGGGAATAGTTTAGCACTAAGTTAGTTCTGTAGAAATGCTGAATCGAATACATAAAATAATTTTATTAGTTTTAATAACTGGCGCTGAGAAATTATCATATGTCTAAGATTGGTCTAAATGGGAACGTAAGCTTCTGTTCAGCCAAAATGTTTCTCATAAGAAGTAGTGCTTTGAGGCTGTGAGGCGGCCTCATAAATTATGTTCGAGAAATTCTGCTTTTTTCATCTTACGGCCAGTATCAGATTATGTTTTCAAAAATTTCAGTTATATTCCTCCACTCCCTCCCTTCCTCTTCCCGTTTTCCGTCCTTAATTCGTCTTGTTCTTCTCGTACTTTCCTTCTCCCTCCCTTTCTGCCTTCCTCAGAGTGGTCACGTTTCGAGATGTGCTGCACTGTTAGCTCAAGCCGTCTCCTCTTTAATTGGTGTGCCGTTCTAGAAAATATCGGTGATTTTCGGTCCTTAAATGCTGGTGGGTCGAATTTAACATTTCTTCAATTACTCAGTTTCTGCGTCCTAGCAGAGCTCACTGCTGTATAGCTGGCCAGCGTTGTAATGCAGCTTTTGGCACATATTTAAGTTATTCATTCCCCGGCCTCGCCGCGGTGGTTTAGTTTGAGGCCTTTGAGGTCTTTGATCTGTTAAATTCTGCTTCTGCATAAATTTCTGTCTTGGAAAAGGTTTAGCTATAATATTGCAGAATTTAATTTAGGAGTCTCACTAATCAAGAAAATGCGGCCTGATTTGAGCCTTCGTTATGGATGTGCAGATCCAAATGCCATTTACGAGTACATTTATCAGTGCAATGCTCAGGAGCCGACGGGTGAAACAGCCTTCATTGATATGAGCTTCTCGTTTGGTTGGGCAAAGAGGCCGATGCTCGGCCGGTAATTTATAGTTTTCATTTCTTTTTTTTTTTTTTAATCCGAATAAATATGATGACAGACCGCTTGCATGTAGCATGATGCCAAGAAAAGAGGAGACTGATTTGACCTGTTGAAAGTATTGCTCTTTCAGGTGTCTTCCAGCCATCCATAAAGGCAGTACTACTTATTTGTTAAATTTCATTCCTTAGCTATTTGTGTTTAGAGCTTTAGGATGAAACATAGACAGATTGCTAAAAAGCAAAAGCTTTTTTCCCTCCAACACAAGTGTTAACCGGGTGCCAACGAATTCCTCAGTGCGCATGCTTTTAGCTTCACTTTTTTTCGTCTATTTAAGACCCTAAGTAATTAATGGTCTTAATTTTTAC